TTGGCCCCTCAAAGCGCTGGTAGCTAAGGTAACTTTTTGAAACTCGTGCACGGGGTAGAGCATGAAGTGGTCATCCAATTTTTCCAAAAAACTGGTTACCGGTGAGTTTCCATTAAATGTTGCTTCTGGTTTCATCGAAGCGCGCATGGTCTGGACGATGTAACCAAATCCTTCCAGGGCGGCAGCTGGCATTTCTGGATTCTGAGCCGCTTTCTGCAGGCAGCACAGGTTCTTCTTGAAACTCGGCCATGGTTATTCTTCTTCGTTGGGCGCCACTATCAGGGCTTCAATGTTCCGTCTTACTTTCTTTGGGAAACATGCAATGGACCTGACTCGGAACAGGGAGCTTACTAAAGCTATGTTCAATAATGTGGGAAGTAGACAGGATACACAGAAGGGTATACAAAACCCTTTATTTTTCACTCTTTACAATAATTTCCGTACTTCGGAATACAAGACCAACTACTTGTGGGTCTAACGTAAGAATATAAAAAATATTTAACTAAACTCTAACTTTAACTTTGGAATAATAAACGTGGAAGATTGGCCTTATATAACAGGAAGCCGTATGTAGTACAGAGAACTGTGAACACTACAATACGTTTAAAATTATCAAGAGGATTAAACCTCTGGCCTGGAAGGCAACCAGCAACTGCGTAAAACTTCTAAGGTAAGCGGCCTGCTTCGACTAACTCCTTCCTCTCTCTCGCTTGGCAAAAAGCCACAACTTAAGTACTTGGCTTTCGCCAGACAAATTTTGCATAAATAAGTTAACGCTTTTAATTCTATTCTGGCCGGAAGTAGAAAATAAGAAGTGATAGTAAAGATTTAAAATAAAATAAACGTTAGTAAAACTTAAGATCCTTACAAGATAACAGGTATAAAAATATAATTATAAAAGATACGATTGTTGCTCAAGTTTAAGAAATATAGTTGTGGAAAGATCGAAAGTGAAGAAAAATAAATAAATTAACGCGATAAAGCTGTAGATTGGGGGAGGGGGAAACTGATGTGTACACCACATGACTTCCTTGTATGGAATATTAAATTATACGCTCTTTTTCTTGCATTTCATGTAAACTTATTGGATTGAATTAAATCTACTTCGTCGATAGAGCATAAACCACCATAGAATAAATGCACTTTTTAAAATTCACTATATTTCTTTACCATAGCGACACTCTGGCGCTAGGTTCACTTAACAGCGTTATATTTCGTTCATATTTTAACTCAGAAAGCACAAAATTTATATCATTTGAAGAATTATCTAATCGTTGCCACATGTTATATTCAATTATTATAATAAATCTAAAACGATGTATAAAAGAAATTAAGGAAACAAAACAAAAAAGAAACAGTTTTTTACAGACTATTCATTATTTCTCATTCAATTAATTCAGTTCTCAGTTCGCGACAAGGCAAAAATAATAAAAACTCAAAATATTTATATTAAAAATTACGAAGTAAATCTTAAACACTTTTTTCCTAGAAAAAATTCCAGAAAGGATTAAGCATGATTTAATTCGCAATAATAAATGAAGGCGTTATCTTTGTTGTTACGAAGCTTAGTCTTTCTAGATTGGCAACAAATCTACTATTCTGCTGTTTCATATGTAAACAAACATATCCTCCATGTTATTTAAAAATTAGGTTTAACCGCACTTAAACAGCTTTTAAATTGTTGATAATTCTACAAATATTGCTTGCAGATTTCCTAAAGGCATAAAAATCTTAACAGAAAGATAAGAACAACATAATTCAATCAGTTTTAAAGCATAAAATGCACAATTTACAAACATATAGTAAGAGTAAAGAAATGTTACAGCAGTCCTATATACAAAATTTCAACGTTCTGAGGCTACTCGTTTTCGAGTTATGCGAGATATATACGTACGTACAGACACCACGAAAAATTCTCTTCAGAATTCATTTTAAAGCAGTTTTATAATTTTTTTGGAGGAGAAGAGTTCTTTTATTCTGTCTTTACGTACAGATATCACGCAAAAACATCGTTAAATTTCATTCGATAGCGGTCAAAATGGATATTTTCGTTGAAATATGTTGCCTGAAACTTTTCGCGCTTACAATACTTTCTTTTTACTTCGTACAAGGAAGTAAAAAAAGGAAGAAATGAAAACATCAAAAACAATCAAATCAGATATAGCAGTAGTAGTTTATTACTGCGAATAGAAATTAGTCGCAAACACGTATAATATTCACTTAACGTTTACACATTAAACCCCCTTGAACTAATTACTTGGTTGGTTTATTTGATTATGGCAAAGCCCTTGGCTACCTGCCTAAGAGGAGGGATGTCTTTGCGGAGTACTTTCTAAGGAAAACTGGCTCGTAGACAAGTGGGGAAAACCAAGAAAACACCCGTATAGCCAAACCGTTTGCGGTATTTCGAACCGCGCACCCAATTACCAGTATTTAGCGATCACTTGGTCGCTGATGGGCCTCCGAGTTAACGGATGAGGCTGAGTAAAAGTAAAGCATGATGCATCATTAAATCCTATTTTTACTTCCTTGTACGAAGTAAAGTATTGTTTTCTATTCCTCTTCCAAGTGCCGTTGGTATGCCACGAATATCATACTATTTGTATGAAGTGCTCCGGCTCTTTGAAATATTTGCCCTTTGGGGCGTCTGACAATGTTGTATTTAGGTAATTTAAAAGTAGCAGCATAAAACTTAGAACTTAAATATTCGAATGCTATAAATGCTGTAGAAATTAAAATTAAAAATTTCTGGTTTTAAAAAACATGCTATTTGCAATAATTCCGTGTACTAAAGCCTATACAAGCTTACATCCTTTAAAAGTAATTCATGAGTATGATTTAGTTCAATCGCATCCGAATTTCGAAGCAATCTTAAAAAAGTGTTTAACGTTGCCAGTTACTGTCGCTATAGCGAAAGGAACTTCAGCAAATTGAATTAATAAAACATTTTATGAGATCTTAGTCAAGAAAATCATTCAGATATGGCATTTTCAACAGAACAGGAATTCAGTGATAAAGTAGTTTTTGAGGAAAAAACACATTCATATTGCCCCACTCAAACTGTCAGATACATTATATTTTATGGCTTAATGCCGACTGAGCGCAAAACAACCTTAATAGTTTTGTTCTCCTTTGAGCCTTAGAGAGGAGGATTCAGTAGTTTTATTCACAATTCAGCCCGATCGGGAAATATCTGCCCCCTCATTTCCTTTGTAATATAATCTGTTTTTTCACGCACCTTTCTATAAATAAGAGAATATAAAGTCAGTGCTTTCAATGGCATAATTTTTTTATCGAGACTTATTTCTGTGGAATACGATTATATACAAAAACAATATTGCTTAATTATTTTGGTTTTAGTTTTATTTTGTATTGTCTTAGTGGAAGATTTTAATCTCATTTTGCACATTTCTTTGTTATACCACAAGGCAACTTGCTATAGTGTCTGAAAACTCTCAGCCATAATAATATTTTGTATTCATTTTGAAGCTATAACATAAATAACTTTGCTTACTGTCCTCTTTTTCAAAATTAAAATGCCGATTTTCGAGAATATGAGAGCATTTCCATGTGAAAAGTCCATATCAAATTCGCTGTAAATGTCCACTTAACCACAAAAGGTACATTTCCCAATGTACATTACATTGAAAAAAAATCTAACTACTACGCACTAACTGCAAAAATGGAAAATTTTCAATTGAAATATAAATCGGTCTGGGAACAATAAATACATGATTTAGTTTAGTTGATTTGGTATAGTGAAAGAATGGTGAATAGTCATAAATTCTTCCTTCTTTTTCTCTGATACGAAAGTGGGGAAAACAAAGGCTAATATGGGAAAGACGATACTTCCGTTTCGAGCTGATTCGGGAATAAAATCGTCAAGGCTTTTTTTGGAAAAGCCCCATTTGGGACATCACCGCAATTTGAGGAGCGCACTTTAACGCCTTGCTTCAGGTGAAAAAATATCTCTTGAGTATTGCATAAAGTGTGACATGCCATATTGTAAAATATGAAGAAAAGAATATATCTGGGTGATGAAAGGATTCAGAATGCTGTAGCATCATGCGCAGACTTTGGAATTCAAGAATTGTATTTGGTATGTATAGGATTCCCTTTATCAGTTTTCTGGTGTATTTTGCTCATCCCAAGAATGTACATTCAGAACTTAGTATATCAATATCTTTTTTTTTTTAATATTAAATAAAGTATCGCAATAATAATAGAATTTTCTCTTTATATTGCGATTAAATTATATACCAAAGTACCGAAAATCTTCTAATTTGAGGCTTGGGTGAACTCCACCTGGAATTATGATTTCACTTATGCCGGAGCTCTGCATGAATTTATGCTCTGGTGCTTCGAATATTTCAGCACTTGGAATCACTAAAACATCAGAAAAAGGATATCTGATTTCATAAATTTACATTTGTCTTTACATTGGTCAAGATTATTGTATAGCATGTTACTTTTTACAAAATTGTTTAAAGTTAAAATGGAAAAATTTAGAAAGCAATTCAATCCTTCACATAAATCTAAATATTAAAATCCACACATTTTTTTAATAATAAACGCTGTTAACACATTGAAGAGGCTAATAGCTTTCACTGTTAAGTTGATAACTGCATTTATTACAAATTATGACCAAAGAAAATAGTTTTAAACTTTATAAATTAAACTGAACTGAAAAAATTGACTACACATGTATATTTCTAAAAGCGAATTTAATTTCTATTGCAATATTTCAAAAAGTCGCTTTTTAATTAAAAAATATTTTAAGGAATTCTAAAGCAAGAAACGATTAAAGTGTAAGAAATTAAATAATATTGGCTTCTATTTTAATCTTTCTATGGTCATTCTTTGGAAATAAGTGATAATATACCTAGCTGATGTACACTTTTCCATAAATTTAAATTTCTGATAATTAATTTTTTAATTGCATTTGTTCTTAAAGGTCATTTATTCAATATAACCAGCTAAATTTCCTATTTTTCGCTCAGGCACAAAATGGTGTGGCGTTGGTGATATTGCTGAATCCTTTGAAGAACTAGGTAGTCAGGCAGAAGTGGATGCTTGTTGCAGAGCTCATGATCACTGCCCAGTTAAACTTAAAGCTTTCAGAGCCGGATATGGCTTGATCAATTTGTCCTTGTACACTAAGTAAGTATCTTAATTTCATGTTATTCTTTTATTATTCAAGAAACAATAGTAAGGAGTTTAAATACAAGATGAAGTTTGTGAATGAAGTGAAAACAAAAAATATGGCAATAATGAAATTTGACAAAACGACTAAGATTGTTTTTAGATAGTCACAAACATTTTAGAGTACTAAAGGTCTGGTTTATACTTTTGAATCGTAAGGAACTCTGGAACCTTGTAAAAATAAATTTAAGCTATAGTATGAGTGTCAGGTTCATGTAGTAGGATACTAGTTCATGTAGTAGGCCCTGGAACAGTAAAGAAAATTAAGCGTGGAGCTGAAAATGTTCTTAATACCCGTGTAAAAATGCAAAAAAATCTCTTGGAACTCAGTCCTCTTAAATTATTAAATTTCAGTCCTCTTCTTATTAAATTCAAATATATTTTTTAATTTGAGATTCTATTTGCATGACTGTGGGGAAAAACTGCAACAAAGTCGCAAATACATTTTCAGTTAAAATACGTTTTATATTTTTGGACTGTACTTACATAAGTGTGATGAACAAAATGCTATAACTTGGCAAATAAGCGGCGGAATTTGCACATCCCACTTCGGTGGTTCTTGTAAACATGCAAATGTGCAAATTTTCAAAACATGCGACGGTCGTTTTAAACATACAACTGTGCAAAATTTCAAAATATGTTCTGCAGAAAGTGTTAAAAATTTGATTTTAAAACTGACGCAAACAAACGAGCAAATAGAGAAATCAATCTAACTAAAACAGTATAGAAATATTTCAAAAGTAATTTGCGTTTTAAGGTATACGAATTCTCATTAGGGATATCCTAATTCCTTCGTAGAATTAAAATATTAAGAAACATATTTTCTAAAATTTGCAAACATATTTATGATAGTAATGGTAGTTTATTAAGGTACGATCACAATTTTTCAGAAAAAAAAATAATATAATATCTAATGGTGAGATTGTTTAAATTAACAAGTAAATAGCGCTTGCTATGTAATGGAGGAAAAAATAGAAAAGTATGAGAATTGTCTTCAGTGAAGGAAATCTAGAGTAAATAATTGATTACAACTTTAGTGAAACTTATACGTTATTGTACAGTTGCTTATCTATTAAGTGTTGTGAATAAAATTTAAAAATTTCACTTCACAGGCTGCATGAATAAAAACTATTGGCCTCATATATGTTACATATATATGTGTACCTATAGATACATACTATAAATATAGTGATGCAAAGAATGTGGTTTGCATGCTTTGCCTGAAGTAGTGACTTTGGATACGTATTTTGAGTTACAAAGTATTTCCAACATAATGTAGAAAAAAAATTTAACATTATTTCACCAAGAGAGTTTTTTTAATTATTAACTTTTCACCAAGTATGAACGTATAAGATCCTTGCATAACATAAAGTCCAATACGTAAAATGTCCATTGGGTCTTAGTAAATTACATTAAAGTATTTCCGTACCAGTGCAAAATTTAGTGAGATCTTTTTAATTTTCTCAGTCATCGAGAATGCAACTATTAACGCCATAACGAACTACTTTTGTTTTGCTGCTAAAAGGTTGGAAATGTTTAATTTCGGTCGAAAACGTGTGCTGAAAGGTAATCTAAATCAGCAAATTTGTTTTCTACTAAAGGAGTCTTTCAATAAGAATGGCATAAATTTAAAATGAAGTAAAATAAAAACTTTTTCAGATAAACAACTAAGCATTTATATTATTTTGAAGTACAATTTATGGCATTAGATTCTGAATAAAACCTCATTTTAGTATTCACTTGACGTGGTGCATACGAGCAAATATGATTAATACAATTTTCGATGACTGCATGCAATAACCGGGATTAATGTGACCAAAGCAACACCCGATGTTTATTCACAATGCTTCGTGGATTCGTGGCTTGCTTGCATAAGCACAGACCATTGATTTCAAATAATCTGACCAAAAATGATCTAAAGAAGTTTAATCACAACTTCTGGGAGGACAATTAGCAGCTGCATTTCGTGAAATTATCCTCTAACCAAGGTTTTGTTTGCAATGTGTAGATAGTGGTGTTAGCTGTATGACAAGTGACACCATCTTATTAGAGCCACATGTTCTCCCAATTTGGCCATAAAAATTCGTTATCATCCATCGGTATCGCTCAGAAGTCGCTTTCAACTGCATCTCCCCCCTTACTGATGACACCATGCCATTCAAATAGTGACTTTTGCGAATGCAAGGGCTTCCTGTATTATGTATCTTGTGGATTGCTTTCGCATCCAAAACGACAGTTTTGTTTGTAAACGTATCAAGCAAAAATAAGCTTCATCAGAAAAGATAATTTTTTGCCCCAAACTAACCTTCTTGAAGCATGGATTTAGCCATCATAAACTGTCAGGGCATAGTACACGCAAATAAAAATTAGTGATTGTCATAGCATTTTAAACATAGTCATAATTTAGTTTTAAAGTCATGTCATTCTTATTAGAATACCCTTTGTATTCACGAATTTCGCCCATAATTTTAGAATTTATTATGCTTAACTTACTAGAGTGTAATTATTGCTTTTTCAACTGGAATATAAGCTCTATAAGAGGACCATATACTAAAGAGTTAGTTTTCATATTTACGAAACGTTTCCACTCACGAAGTCGAAAGTATTCTAAAATTTTTATCAATTAAATTTATAAAGATCTGTAATTAAAAGTACATATTATGATCAATATTTAAGAAAACATTTTCAAGCACAGTGTATTTATACACTCACGCTTAAATTATACACAGAATTCTAAAATTAAAAATTAGAAGTGTTATATATATGTGTGTATATATATATATTTTTTAATTACTTGTGTTTGCTTTACTAAACTTTTAATGGTTAATTTTTCATTATTTATTTATTATATTCCATTATATGTAGGTTATTTCATAATTCTAGGTCTCATTGCGACTGTGATAAAGAATTCTACTCTTGTCTGAAGAGATCAGAAAATAAATTTGCAGATGTCGTAGGAAATTTTTATTTTAATTTTATGAGAGCCCAGTGCATTAAAGAACACAGACCTTTTATATGTGTTGAAAACAGGTATTTATCATTTTACTTTTATTTGTGTGAAAAGAAAAAGAATAATTGCACAGAACATAATGAAATTATACCTAAAAATTAGTTATTCAAAGCGCACATCCACAGGATTTCCACCGCATATTTTGGGGAAAAAAATTTATAGCTGCTTTATGTAAAAAAAGATAACTTAACTTTCTCAGATTGTTGCTAAGGATAAGAAGGAGGAGGATTAGTTCTAAAACATAGTCTGTAAGGTATTTTCTGCCTTCTTAACCGAGTGCCTTTGTAGTGTAACTGGAAGCAAATCCGGCTAGCAGTCCGAAGGTCCGAAATTCAAATCCCTCCTAAGGCACTGCCCATTTTTCACGCTTCCTGTTCCAAAAAAAACCCTAATGACTCTACAATTTTTAACAACTTTTAAAAAATAAACTTAAAAAATGTGTAAACAAACATTTAATGTAACAAAAGTACTTGTAAATTCTTTTAACTAAATGAATTTCTAGCATTTCTAACGCTGATGATGTTTTATATAGCCTGTAAAAATTTTAATGATGTTTCAAGATTTCGACTTGATATTGGAGCAAATTAAAAATGACTTTGGGGAACGGTTTAGGATTGTTATGCGAAGTACCACTATATTCGGTCAACTTTTAATAACTCGTTTGAAGAAAAAAACACATATGAAAATTTCTAAAATTAGAAGCTGAAGTTCTTAATTCTTCTTCACAAACCAACACGTTCAGTGCGAAATCTATTTTACTTGGTTTAAAACCGGTCGTTAGAGTCGGACGCGGTGTTTAAAATTTTAATAATTTAATAAACTATCTGATAAAGAAAATGCGATACAATGAAATGGCCTGAAAACGGGCTAAACATTGCACAAGCACGTAATAAATTATTTAATTTTCAAAGTTGTACAGCAAGGATGTCAAACTCGCGGCCCGCGGGCTGCATGCGGCCCACAACAAATATTTTTGCGGCCCGGTCAATATATCGGCAAATAATAATATATAATACTCGTAGTAAAATAACATATCGACGAAGAAAAAAATGAAATGTTTACTGCTAAGTAATTAACGATAATTATTCAGTGTTGTTAGATTACTCACAGTGAGCTGACACACACACTACTTAAATTACAAATGCGTGGAGTAGCTTGAGTTCAGCTACCTTCGGCTTTTGGGGCACCGTGCACTCAGAACTTGTACGCATCCCCCGATAGCCGAATGTGGCCGAACTCATGGTCTCAGTTTTCCAATCATAGTTTTGTACGATATATTGGGATTGCATGCATGCACTTTGCTTTATTATTAATTATTACTTAATTCATATTGTTACGGATTTCATAGTTATTTATTTATTTTTTTTTTTTTTATTTAGAATTGTAATTAGATTTGCTTCTTGTTGCCTTAGCAACGCAGCATTTTGAAAAGACAGCTGCGTTGAAAGGTTAAAAATAGAACAGCGCGTGCATTTAATACCTAATAAATAAATATCTCGTAATTGCTGTTGCCATCCACAAATATCCAGATATTTATAGATGTTTCCAGTATATTCGAGAAATTAATTATAAAGCTATAAAAGCCGAGAAAAAAAACAACTCATCTCAGTAGTAGCTGTAGTTCTGGCGAACTGTTTGTTTACTTAATGCTGTGATTGATTTGTAGCGATTTTCGCTGTGAGATAGAATTAGTTTCTCTGTTTTGAATGATTTTTGCTAAACGTTTGACATTTTGTGATATTGTTAGAATATTTTTGAAGAATATTTCAGGATTTTGATTTATCTCTTGTGGAAAGAATAAATTTTTGTTAACTTTTTAACGTTAACCGTGTTTTATTCCAGCCCTTTGTATTCAGTAGTCTATATCAAAACCAAGTGGTAGTAAAATTAAACGAAAAAATCGCTGACGAACATTAGAATATTCCAAGTAAATGGAATTAGAATATTTTGCTGTGAAATAAAAGATAAAATAATTGCTTGATATGTAATAATACTATTAATGTACAAAGTTATATAATATTAAACGTCATTACGAACAACACAAATCGAAATCTAACAATTACGAAGGATTAATGAGAGAAGAAAAAAAGTTGAAAGAGCTCAGTTAGGAGTGAAAAAGCAACAGTCCATGTTTAGTAAAAGTGATTGAAGCGGGGCGGTACATGCAAGCTACGTCTTGTCCGAGTTGATAGCTAAACATTCGAAGCCTTTTTACTGACGGTGATTTCATCAAGGAATGCCTAATGAAAGCTGGAGAATTGTTTGTCCTGGAAAATGTGAAGGCTTTCAATCAATTTTCATTGTCTCGAAATACAGTTGCGGAAAAGAGTTACTGATTTAGCCGCGAATTTAAGTGATCAGATCAAAGCAAAATCATCTAGTTTCGAAAGTTTCTCCATTGCCTGTGACGAGAGCAGGACATAGTGGCAAAGCTCAATTAGCAGTGTTTTCTTCGTTCTTGTGACAAGAATTTAACATTTTGAGGAATTACTGGAACTAATACCGATGCCTGGTACTAACACAGGAGAAGATATATTTACTTGTGTTTTGGACTTCTGCAGAAATACAATCTACCTTTGGCAAAATTAAATTCTGTAGCTACAGATGGCGCTCCATCAATGACCGGGAAAAAACAAGGGCTTCGTAGCATTACTAAGAAAAAAACTTAGTGAAATTCACGGTTCAAACATTCATCATATGCATTGTATTATACATCAAGAAGTTTCTATGCACGAAAGTAATAAATATGGAGAAATGTTTTGTCATATATAAAAAAAATTATAAATTTTATAAGATCTCGAAGTTTAAATCAGCGTCAATTCACTGCTTTCTTAAGTGAGTTAGTGAATATTCGGGTTTGTCCTACTATACCGAGGTACGTTGGTTATCTTGCTCCAAGATTCTCAAACAATTCCAGGGATTTGAAAGAAGAAATATGTCCAGTTTTTAAAAACGAAAAATCAAGACGTAAGTTTGTTTTACGATCCAATATCGGATACAAGATTTATCTTTCTTGGTTGATATAACCAAAACACTTAACGATTTAAATTTATCGTTACAAGGAGAAAAGATCATATCATTACGAACATGTTTGACATAAATTAAAGCATTCAAATGTCAACTAGTTCTTCGGGAAAAAGAACTTAAAAATGAAGATTTGACGCACTTCCCGACGTGCAGCATGAACAAATCAAGTTTAGATGATACTTGTTCGTATCAAAATACGCAGAAAAAATTTCAAATTTAACAACTGAATTTGAAACGAGGTTTAATGATTTTAGTTCCCTCGAAGACAAATTTTATTTTGTTTTCTTCGATTTTCTCAATAAGTATTGACTCAGTACCCAGCCATATGCAAATGGAGGTGATCGAGATTCAATGCAACTCAAATTTGAAAGCAAAATTTCATTGAAGTGGGCGTGCCTGAATTTTCAAATATTTACCAGCCAGGTTTGAAAATACTCGAAAATTCGCATATGAAATTATTTCCATGTTTGGTAGCACTTATCGGTGCGAGCAGTTATTTTCAGTCATGAAAGGTAATAAGTCTCCTATTAGAAAAACCGTATTAATGATGCTCACCTTGGGTCAGCGTTGAAAGTTATCACTGCAAACAAAATTTCTCCCGAAATAGGAAAGATAATAGCAGAGACGAGATGTCAAGTATCAGGACGTAAACATTAAATTTTTCTTGTTCTTTTCTATATAAATATATATATATATGTTTATTATTGTATTATTCGAAACAAATCTACGTTTCTATGAATATTTTTTTTTTTTTTTTTAGTCCAAAGGGATTTGAATCCCAAAGGACTATTAGTTTCGTTTTGGCATTTTGCGTCGGACTCATAAATGTCGGTTCACTTTTCAAACTGTTGCCACAAAATGTTAGAGTCCTGCATTATATTTGAAGAAATTAAATAATGAAAAATCTGCATAAATGTATGTATATTTCTCGTATTGTGATAAAACAACGGTACATAGAGTCATCGAATTTTGAATAACGTAATCCTCCAAAGAATATGAGCATGTGGAAGACCAAATTTGAAATTTGAAATTTGTTTTATGATCGATTTCCTATTTTTTAAAACTTTGACGAATTTTTGATTAACAAACTCAAGGATTTCAAAGCGAGCAATGGCAACGTTGTGCAGAAAAAAAACATTTTATCTCCAGCGCGTGAGTCTCTGTATCGGAAATTCTAAAGATATGCTCGTTTTAAAACTATTTTGCGATATTGCTGTTGCACTGGATCTTATGAGTGCGAGGAACATGATATAGAACATGATATTAAAAGAAAGGTAACACACAAATGTTAAAAAAAACGCCCCTTTGGACGTAATTTAAAATCTGAAACATTTCAGATTTTTTTTTTTTTTTTTTTTTTTTTTTTTCCGGCCCGCCTAAAGTTAAACCTTGTTTGTTTGGCCCAAGTGTACCTATGAGTTTGACATCCCTGTTGTACAGTGAAAAGACACTTAGATATTCAGATCATCAATAAGATGTTTGTGGCCTTTTTGTGGTTTTTGTTTGTGTTCAGTTCGGGCAATATATTCTTGAACACGTCAAATTGCATCCACACAGTGAGCGTACAGGATGTCACAAGAAAATATCCAGTAAATATTGTGCTCCGCGTATTACTTATGATACCCTAAAGTTCATATTTATTTAATGGAGTATGGCAGGTATTCAACCGATACCCAATCATATCTCCCAAAAAATCGGCTAGAAATCGGGAAATTGGGTTGACCAAAAGAGCTCTTGTGCACTTCGCAATGCACTCACGGTGAAGTGAGCTGTATAAAACAAGTGCCGTACGGGGCCGTTTAAGGAATTTAGATCCTCTTTAAGTTCGGAAATGGGGGCCCCCTTAACGGAATCCCTTTTAAAGTTGTACTTTCTCTCTAAAGTTTTTCTTTTAAAGTAGTAGTTCTGTGGCATACTCAGACCGTTACATAATTGATTATAACTAATCATTTTATTTCTAAAGCAAATAAACATTTAATATTCGTCTTTCGAA